ACAACTTTTTATAGAAAAAGGAAAATGTATTTAGAAGAAAGTCAGCGAGCAAGTCAATGTCCGAAAAATGAAGTGGAAATAACGAGTTTAGGCTCGTCATTCACATCCTCGCAATCATGTATCGAAGGAACGTCCACTTCAATTTTGAAAACTAATAGTGCTACTAGTGGTAGCTTATCATCAATGGATACTATAGAAATAAATAACAGTACACCTGAAGCCCATACAACAGAGGAATACTATGAGAATAATGATCCTCCAGAAGAGCAGTCAACTGAAGTTCAGTTTCAGCATAAATTGAAGAGAATATTAGATTTTAATTTTCAAATGAGTGGTAAAATCAACAAAAAAGTTCTCTGTACGGCTCTTTTTTAACATTAAATAAATAAAAATACTGATCTAATGTCAGTAATTTTATTAACGAGTATGTGACCAACACCACCAGAGGATGACCCAGCTTTCTTTTTTATTTTATTGCTCAAAAAAGAGCACTGTAAAAAGGAATTTTTCTTATTTACCTCCTAGATGTCGGTAGGATTCAGAGGTCTTATTTCGCCAAAGCAGGTGTCAATTTCTGAACCAAAGGTTGACATAGGTGACCCAAAGGTCAGTTACTGCACCTTATGCACTATATTGGTATTTTAAAGGTTGCCTTAGGCAACTCCGCCATTTTAATACAATTTATCTTTTCGTGCGTTGTAGACGAATCGAATAAAATATCAGAAACCGCAAAATACTGCGAATTTCGTTAAAAAACTGTATCTGTTAAGGTTGTAAGCTAATTTTCCTGATATATTTCGCATATTTATCTCAAAATTTAAAAAAAAAGTTAGGTTAACCAAGTAAACTATAATTTTAAAATTAAAACTAGGAAATAAAAAAGGGGTTTTGCCATATTTCGAAGCATCATGATCACTTTTAACAATAAACTAATTTTCGTTGATGAATTTCGATTGTCGACGTCTCAAAACTTCACCTAGAATTCACCTAGTTATTTCTTAATGGAGCTTAATATATTCCATTTCTAATTAATACATCATCAGCCATCACCAAGTTAATCGAAATCAATGATTTGGTTTCTCCATGGTTGAATATAGTAATATTTGACGACGAATATTTTTAACTCTAGCCTCAAAATATCGCGAATCGGCATGAAAAACAACTTTTAGTACACGACGTACGACGTCACCAGCTCAAACAACGTCGACGGCGACGTTGTAGCGACCCTAAAACATCCTCCATTTTGGTACAAATACGGGTCGCTTAGACGTCGCTTCGACGTTGTCCGGCAACGTTGGGTTGCTCCTGGCGACGTTGTGATTACGCTGAACAACGTAATTTTGCTACTTGGGTAGAATGTAGAATGTAGAATGTTTAGGAGGGGAGTTAATCACCGCGACCTTATAGATCTATTATGTGTTCCCCTTTCTTATAACTCATCATACAGTCTCAGGGCTTTAAGAAAAGCCAGTATCTGAGACGGCTCTACAGAGGCCAGCTCTCCATCCTCGACATCAGATGTACCAAAGTTCATGGCACGAATGGTTGTCGTCTCGGCGCACTCAGTGATAAGGTTTTCTGGTGTTTCCCCATTTTCCCCCACAAAATCTGCATTCGCCGTTGTTTCTCAGTTTCAGCCTACTGAGGTGTTCGTTGAGGAGACAGTGTCCTGTTAGAAACCCCGTGACAATCCGAAGATTGTTTTTACTTAAATCAAAGAAAACCTTTGATTTTTCTCGGTCGTAAGTCCTGAGGAATTTTTTCGTTTGTCTTAGACCGTTGGAGGACACCCATTCCAAGTTACGGATGGAGTCTTCCAGATTCTTCAGTTCCGCTTTCAGTTGGTTCCCATTTGGAGAACAGAACAGTTCTGGTCCAGTTAGTGGAGTATTCGCTCCTTTTCTAGCTAGATCATTTGCTTTTTCATTGCCTTCACTCCCTTGGTGAGCAGGCACCCAGAGTAGGAGGACTTTATAATATTCTTTGCCTAATTTGTTGAGCTGCTCTCGGCATTCTCTGACCAACTTCGAATTGATGGTTACTGAGTTGATCGCGTTAAGTGCTGCTTGACTATCGGATAGGATGGCAATTTCCTGTTTTCAATAGTTCCTATCTAAGATAAATTGTACGCATCTTTCGATAGCGTAAATTTCTGCCTGAAGGATGCTGGGGTAGGTGCCCATTGATTCGGAGTATTTAGTTTTCGGCCCAAATACTCCTATCCCTGTCCCTGCTTTGGTTTTAAGCATCCGTATACCACATGATGGTATGGTCTTTATATGCTGAGTAAGTTGTCTCTTTCTTCCAATCCTTTTTATTACTCAATACTACAGTGAGGTGTTTCTCAAAGTTGTAAATTCTTGGTATGTCATCCACTGGGAGTTGGAGAAGTAGAATTTTCTTTTTGAGGGTGTTCCAAGCCCCTGACCTGAAAATACTTGGGTAGTACATATGCACGTTCCCGGTGAATCTGTTGACGCTTTTTTAGCATTAAGTTATGTAACACTTACATCTTATTTTTACGTCAGGAATTTCCACACCAGAGATGGCACATGTTTTTTGAAACACACACGCTGTATTAAATCAACGCCGCTTTGCATTTAGCAGTAGAATTCTAGATCATAGACAAGCAATTTGTTAACCAAATTAACATTTTGGGAAGTGCCTGAAAACCATTAATATTATTGCGGACCGGTGTTGACTCGACCTAACCTAACTATATGGCCCGCCCTCGGATGACCTTAACATCGCATTAAAGAATAGACACCGTAATGATTCATTCGAAGATTCGAGAAGCATCGAGTTCTACTGGAATGGAGTAGTACATACGTAGTACAATCGAGAAACCTTCTCTATGCACCTAACGATCTATGGACTATTCTAGAGATCTTTAGTTGTCGGTATAAAAGCCGGCGGCTGTGGCCTAGAGAGGGCAGTTATAAATAGACGAGTGCAGTTGACGCGCTAAAATTCAAAATAAATTCTTAGTTATAAATCGTTTGTAAATAGTTCTATAAGTCTTTTATCGTTATTGTTTTTGTTAATTAGTGTTAAATAAATAGTGTTTAATAAATTGTGACTTTCTATCCACACGGAACCGACGAAAAACGTAACAATATTACAAACAGACATATGTGATTATAAAACAATTATTACCTACAAAACTTAAACTTAATAAATAAAACACATAATTACTGTTTATTTTAAGCGTTAAAATTAGAGGGTTAACACAGTTACAGTATCACACATACAGTATCACGTACACATATAACATTACATTTAATAGTTTTAATAAAATTTTAAATAATATAAACACAATTTTAATAAAAAACAGTTCAATTTGTTTTAAATTACCAATTATTATATAATTTTTTCTGGATATTAATATTTCGTCAAGATAGAGAACACTACTAAATAACAAAATATTCTTACTTCTAATAAGAAAATATTTATCATACAAAACAAGCAAGATATATATTATAAATTTTAAACTACTGTAAAGTTACATGGATTAACTAATAAAATAGAAGAAAATATATCTATAATTCCAAGATAATAATAAAGCAATCGCGTTTTGGAAATGTACTATATAAAACTATATGACTAAATTTACTTACAATAATGAAGGTATACTATATAATACTCATTATGAAATAATACCGAGAAAAATTAAAAATATAAATATAATATTCATAAATGTAACAGAAAATATACCTTGAAGGTAATTTATGTATAAATTATAATAAAATTTAAACATATTAATTAAAAATTTAACAAAGACACAATATCACAGCACAAGTTATACAAATTAAAATAAAAATATTCCATCAAAAAAGTATTACTGAAAATTGCTTTTAACTAATATAGTACCGGACTGGCAAATACATATATAGAAAACAGTTGTTAGAATAGAATTTTAATTAATTTAAATTTATAAGTTCTAATTCGGATTGTCAATTGAAAAATTTAAATACAAAAACTGAAATAAAATTGGAGAGTAAGTCACACACAGATATTTTTTATACTTAGTGGCAAATGTTACATTATTAAATACTTATCTATAAAGTCCTACTGACTAATTTTATTCGCTGAATGAATTAATTGTTAGCTAATTAAAATTTTTATACTTAATTAGTTTTTACATAAATTATAAAATTAAATTTTGACTACACGTATGTATATTCTTCCATGAAAGAATATTATAGTCTATTTTCTTCTGTCATTGAATTTTGCCTACTGAAATCGCTTAATCCAAGATCAACTTAACATTAACGGAGCCAAACCGGTGTTAATTTGTTGTGCTGACACTGACATTTTGGTTTTAGCTATATCTTTTTTTCCTTAATTTAACGCCTAGGCCTAGAAAACTTCTGGTTGCTGTATAGCTCTTCAAAAAATTTGCAATACATTCCTGTTCACTGTATTGTGAAAGTTCTTGGTGACAGAAAATCAGAAGCTCTACGCGGCTTTCATGCCTTCTCTGGATGTGACACTGTGTCTTTTCTGTCATCAAAGGGCAAACGGTCGGCTTGGAAAACTTTGACAGAAGATACAACTACATTCCATGCAATATATTTCTCCCGCGAGAAGTTAGAAAATAATGTGCTTCAAGAACTTGAAAAATATGTGGTACGCCTATATAATGTTCAGTCTACTAATAACATAACTATGGCCAGGAAACACTTGTTTGCACCTGAAAATAGACCACTTACGGCTATACCACCAACTCGAGCTGCTCTACATGAACACACATTAAGGGCAGCATACCCGGCGAGTCATATTTGGGGTAGAGCTGACTAAATATATCAAGATGATCAACCTGCTCCAATTAGCTGGGGATTTTTTCTAACATTAAATTTATTGTATACAGGGTAGCACTTTGAACACAAGTAACTAGATAAGAAATTCCAGCTAGGCTTATTGCTTTAGCTCTAACTTATTCTTTTGAGTATGTTATAGGCTTGGTCGTACATTTCAACCGATCTACAAGTCGTGTCTTCGTCTACAACGTGTCTTCTTTCGCAAACGTACTTTTTCGTTATAGGCTTCAAAATATTCCAGCTCTATTATAAGTATAACGAAAATAATAAAAAAAAAGCAAACAAAAATGCAAATTATATTTACTTTACCAATACGTCTTCAACTAATTCCCGCAGCGACCTATTTTGAGTTTCGATGACAAATTCTTCATTTTCCTCTAAGCTAGTAATGGGTACGTCTTTAATAAACAACCTGTCACATTAAAATTTGTAAATTAGAGATAATCGTTTAGAATATTTTTATCACCTCAATGAAGTATTGCAATAATCGCCTGTGCAACATTTTAAAGGAGTTATCTGAAAAATAACTTCACTAGTGCCGTAAGGTGCCAAAACCTGATTCTCATAATTTGTTTGTATCCAGTCCGACATGTCAAAAGCGATGTCGTCATTTTTTTCCACGCATTTAAATTTGTATTTCAAAAGCAGCCCGCTAGAAATAAATTAATAATATATATTGCCATATGATCGAAAAAAAAACGGCGTCACTAAATTTTATGTTTTGGCTATACACATTTTTTTGATAGGCAGTTTTTTCCCCAAAAAATTTTAAACATTTTTTTCTCAAAAACGGTTGATGTTAGATATAGAGTGTTTGATATCAAAATTCATAAAATGTTACAGAGAATTTAAGTATGTAGTGAAAAATGGGCAGGGCCGGCGGAAGGCAAATATTGAGACCGAGCGAGTACCCTATCTGGCGTCCCCCCCCCCTCCCAATATTTTTATAATTCTCTTTTCCTCTTCTTTCAATACTATCCTTTAGCAACAACTAAGCATATTTTATGCTACTGTAACAATAGATTTTCACTTAAAGATACATCAAAATTCTTCTTTTCTTTCAATCTTAGTCTGCGATTGTTGTTTTTTGTATACCGGGTGCGTCTCGAATATATATGGCATAAATAAGGATTGATTGACTATTCAGTTGTTTTTGGCCACTTCCTGTTTCACCGGACATGACTAAAACTTTTGATTTTTAAATGGCACCTCGGTATATTTCTACTTTATTTGATTCAAATTTGATTTGAAAATTACACTCTGAGTAGAATGACATATCATATGTCAACTTTTGATATTTTTGTCCAAAAAACATTATATTTTAAATTTCAATCTAGAGTGCCATGGTTCTGTTAAAAACACTAATTTTTAAACAAGGAGCCTTGGAAAATAGATTTGATCGTCTAATGTTTTTCGTATCTTGTCATGGCCGATCCAAATATTGCCAAAATCGTATTTTTAATCGAAAATGTCATAAAGTAGAAATATACCGAGGGTGCCATTTAAAAATCAAAAGTTGTAGTAATTTCCCGTGAAACAGGAAGTGACCAAAAACAATTAAATACGTCAATTAATCCTTATTTATGTCGTATACTAACATACCAAATTTCGTTTTTTTTCTGAAAAAATAAACAAGTTATAGGGGTGAGCCACTTTTGAGACGCACCCGGTATATAGAGTTATGAGAAATATAATTCCAACTTCGGAAGTCTCGTTCTGGTGTAAGTAATCTTCGAAAATATTAGTATTTAGTTTCAAGCAGTTACATTATTTTTCTATAAGAATTTAAGAAAATTTTCTTTTTTTTTCTCACAATCAATTATTTCGTGTACAATCAGTTTATGATCAAATACAGTTTTGTGGGCTTTAAATGGAGGTCAGCCAGTGATTGAGATGCATTCCTTTGTCTTGCTCTAATGAGAAAATTCTACGATTCTGCTACCATTTTCCGTGTATTATTATACACATTCAATTGGGAAAATGAAAATCACCAAAAGATTGATATATTTTCCCACTACTGTTAATAAATTAATTTAACTAATGAGGCAAACTTATAAGCTTTTTTTTGGATAATAAGGATATCGATATATAATTTTAGGGTACATCAGCCATTAATAACAAATAAAAGGGTAGTAGAAAAAGTGCGATTTTGAGCAGTCAGTCTAAAGCTGTCAATTTTGCTGGCTCTTGACCCAAAACAGTTTGTTTAGAGAAAATTTATAAAAACAAGAATTATAGAAAGAAACGTAATTTACAAAAACTTAATAGCTTTTGAATTATAAGTAAAATACCGCGAACAAATCAGATTTATATTTTATTTATTTTATTTTGTTTAAGATTTTTCCACGAAAATGAATTTGCAAATCCCAGTTTCGTATAGAGTACCCAAAAAACATATAGAATGGAAGAAATTAAAACTATCCCAAAGCTTTCGTGCAAATAATTTTTTGAGCATAATTTCAGTAAACTATAATAGGATACGTCTAGTAGTGTTTATAATGTTTAGTCAGATATTCTTCCCTATGTGATGTGGTAATTGGTAATATTTTAATGTGGAAATTGATAGTACCGATTAATTATTGATCTGGTCATTCGTTACTCTTTCATTAGATTACCGTTTTTAAATATTTTAGTTGCCGTCCTGGCGCCCCTCGTACACGGCGCCGGCGCCCCGGGCAGCCGCCCAGGTCGCCCGGCCCTTCTGCCGGCCCTGAAAATGGGGGTACCAATTGAAAATAAGAAGGTTGTTGTTTGGTGCTGATATATTGAAAATATTTTTAACATACAGATCTCGTTGTGAAACAATGATGTGCAAAAAATCTCCGATCTAAATATTGTATGTCTCTAGAAACTTCTAATGCACGCCCGGCCTGGGACATCCTGTAATAGTCTAAGAGCTGGCTACATAAAAAACCTTATCATCGTTACATGGCTAATTTTATGTGTGAAGTATCCTTTTGTGTAGCCATTACGAAATAGTCATGTCTACCAGCGCAAACCCGGGGCTTAAAGCGGCGGCGGCCAATCGAGAAATCGTAGAAAATCGTGCATTATTTTTAATTTTTTATAATTATTTCTTAACCTACCATGCTTACGGCTTTACTCTATGGCTACGACACTAAAAGAATGGATGCAAGTACAGAAAAAAAAAACAGATGGGTCTAATAAGATTAATATTTAAAAATAAATCAATTCTGTTTAAATTTTCAAACTTAAATAACTTATTTTGGACTTATTTGGAAAACGATATAAAGAAAATATGCTTCTTTTATCGAGATCTATCAGCTCTGAAAATATTTACACCTATTCAAGATTCACCCTATAGAGTAATATTTTTTATATAACTCTCTACCGCTGATTGAGCCACGATTTTTTTGTCTGTCTTTTTCATACGACTCTTTAAATAAAAAAAATATATTCCACCAATCGACATGCATGTATGTATGCGATGATTTTTTTTGTCAAATTCCATGCCTACTTCGCGTTGTCTGCCGGCATTTTAGCCACGAGAAAAATGTCTGTCAACAGTTTTACACGTTTCTTAATAATAAATAAAAGCTAATTTTTAAACTTTCATAATGGCAACACAAAATGATACTTCACAAGAAAAATTAGCCATGTAACGATGATAAGGTTTTTTATGTAGCCAGCTCTCCGTCTATATGTTGTCCTGAAATTTTAAACTTCTTGCTTTGTATACAAATTTTGTTTCCTTAGGAAGGGTAGCTGAGTCGCCCAGTATATTACTGTCTCCTTTTTTGTTACTAAATTTTCCAGCTTAAGAATTAGAAGCTGTCATAAAAGCTGACATAAATGCTCTCGACCTCAGTTTGTTGATTATTTACATGTGATTTGCATTAAATCAGAGAATATGATAATAATCCTAGTAAAATTTTCCTTGCGCGAACATTATAATATGTAATTATTATTATAATATATACCTTCAAAAATTTGTTTACTTGAATGATGAAATATAAATATCAAAATTAAATACCTATTGTTTTTTAAACGTAACGTCATAGTTATTGGATCAGTATTTTCAATATATCCCAAAAATATACGATGTCCTGGTTTACTTTCTATATCTTTTGAATGATTTGGTACCTAAAACTTTTACACGTTAGATTGAAAATTGATTTAACATTCTTTAATTCCATATAACACTGTACATCTACACTTATAAGTTTTTTGTTAAAAGCTATTCCATCACCAATTATTTCCAATTGTTGGTAAGTATTCTTATCAGTCAGCAAGTAGAGTGTTTCACTGAACAATCCACACTTCATAGGCTGAAAAATAACATTCATTTCGGTGGTTTGGCCATTCAGAATTTCAAAATATGCTGGATAAACCCAAAGTATACCGTTACTTCCGTCTATTGATATAGATTCTTCCTAGAATTTTTAAATAGGATTAATAGAAGCGATTAATGAGAGGTCACTCATTATGCAACCAACAATACGCTGAGTCCTATCACAGATTAACTTACAACACTTTTTTTTCTTTGCAAGTTAGTGGTCGTATCCATATCGTATCTGATAGTCTAAGAGCTAGCAACGTTTTTGAGAAAGTATTTTAAGACGTCTGGCTCTTTGATATATCTTTTACTATACTCTCTGGAATAGCATGCGGCCCGTCTGGCTGCCGATACCCGTTGCGTTCACTACTGCGCATCGGAAGAAGATCCTATATTTTTCATTAATTTAGTCTTACAAGTTCTAGTATTGAATATAAATCGAACGATGTCTCCATAGCGCAGAGCGTAGAGTTTCAGACCACGAACCGATGATTCAGAGTTCGAATCCGGGTCAGGTCAAAGACTTATTATAATATTTAATACTTTACTATCAGAATATAAACGAAAATAAAATAAAAAGTTTTTGCCCCGACCCGGATTCGAACTCTGAATCATCGGTTCGTGGTCTGAAAATCTACGCACTGCGCTATGGAGACATGTTCGATTTATATTCAATACTAGAACTTATAGGACTAAATTAATAAAAAATATAGGATCTTCTTTCAATGTGCAATAGGGAACGCAACGTTTACCGGCAGCCAGACGGGCCGCATGCTGTTATAGAGAGCATAGTAAAGAATACTGCCAGATGTCTTAAAATACTTGTTTTTCCAGGCTCATTCTACATATCAAAATACATGTGCCATCTCTCGTGGGGAGATTCCCCTCATAAAAATAAGATTCATTTTCCATATTAACGTAGGTCCGATTAAAGGGGGTTAAAGGTTAGTCTTCATCTTTTTTCGTTTTATTATAATTTTCTTCCAAGTGCCTTTAGCGATTCGAATGAAATTTTGAGGGTAAAAGTTACTACGAGTTCGACATATTTTAATGCTAAAGAGGTGTGGACATTTTCACCAGGGACGTGCATATGGGTTATCATTGCAATATTTTTTTAAAAAAATATGTACGCCACTCCCTTTTTTTGTTTTATTAGCAAAATTGTGTAGAACTTTAAATGCTGATTAAACATTTTCTCTTAATATTTCGTCGATTTCGGTCTTCTTGATGAGATAAACGCAATTTAATTAGTTTGCTTTAATCCAATTCTAATAAGAACCTTTAAAAAATTTAATGTCACTAACTTCTATCAAAATTGTCAAAATTTTAAATAAGTACGCATTGATTCCTTATCAAAAAATATAAAAGAAGTTCCTATAAACATGGGTACGAAAAAGCATATTTTTATAGTTACAGGATGTTAAAACTTAAAAATAGGCCTTCTGTAAGTATCTTAAATACCATTCCTTTATAGGGAATTTGCTGTCGGTAGCACTGTAAATCAGTGTTATAAATTTTAATAAAATGTAGTAATAAATTACATCAAATAAATGACTATTCAATTAATTTTTAATTTTATTAATTGTGATTAATAAAATTGCGTTTATCTCATCGAGAAAATCGAAATGGACAAAATATCAAGATACAACTATTAATCGGCATATTACGGTCTTAGTATAGGAGCTGGCAAACATTGAGGTGAACGATATTTATCAAAATTTTCACCTACATGGTCTAATTATACATGGTATAGACAAATTAAAATCGACCGTCTGCCGTTTCAAAGTGGCAGCTTTAACTAGGGGGATGCAGTTAAAAAAGAGGTGGTTTTAAGATTTGGTGAACAATATTGATCAAAACTCATATTCACTCACTTAAAGAAACAACTTTAGAATGTGCCGAAATCACGTGAGCAGACGATTTATTTGACAGCTTAACCCTGGCAGACGCCTGTCAAAGTGGCATATTTTACGGTAAAGTGAACGACAATTATTACACATTAATTTTGGTGGATGTATTCCCCTATTAGTAGGTTAACTGAAAACCATATGGCAGACGAAATATTTGACAGCGTTCCTGTGGCAGAGGCTGTCAAAGTGACAAGCTCACTCTTAGTAAACAATATTTATAATCGTTTAAATTGGTAAAATAACATAAAGTACAAGGGTATTTTTTAAATTAGAAGAAAGCAGACGACCTATGTGACAGCTTAACTTTGGCAGACGCTTGTCAAAGTGACATATTTTACGATAAAGTGAACGAAAAGTTTTACACATTAATTTTGGTGTGTGTATTCCCTTATTAGTACGTTAACTAAAAACCATATGGCAGACGAAATATTTGACAGCGTTTCTGTGGCAGACGCTGTCAAAGTGACAAGTTCACTTTTGTTGATAAAAAATTAAAACTACTCAAACTGGTGAACTAAATATTAAACAACTTTGGTAAATGACATTTAAACATTTTTATTGAAAAACTGGTTAGGTTTGGTGTAAAATAAAAGTAAAAGTAAAATAAATAATTATTCTTTAACTAACATAAAACAGGATTTTTAAACCTTAATAAAATCAGTCTCTCGTTTGTATTCATTAACAAAACCTAAGAATACTTCAACAAACCTAAAACTATTATTAAAAAAATATATAACAAAGAATATATTCTATAAATGCGAATCTAGTTCCCCAAGTATTGTAAAAAAGCACATTTCTTAAAACTATAAAATACTTAGGATTTTAAAACATCACAAAAGCAGTCTCCCATTTTTATTATTTTACAAATAAGTAACCTAAATAAAAGAGAGAACTTCAACAAATCAACAATCCAGCATCATTCTAAAAAAACATTTCTTAAAACTATAAAACAGGATTTTAAAATATTGCAAGTCAGCCTCCCATTTTTATTCTTTCACAAATAACCTTTCGTAACCTAAATAAGAGGGAGGGAACTTTAACAAATCTTAACGTATTTATCTAAACAAAAAAATATATCCTCTACAAATGAATCTAGTTGAAATATCGTTTCCAAAAAAATATTTCTTAAAACCTTAAAGCAGGATATGTAGTTATATCAAAGACTAATAAGTTCCCAAAAACTTGTTGCAAAATTTCAAAATACAAAATATGTCGTTATTTATACCTTTAAGAAATCACCCTCCTCGTCACTTGATTCAATCAAAATTGCGTCGGCGTCCCCGTCGTCGTCACTTTCGTTAGTTAAATCAGATTTATGTAAAATATCACCAAGTTGAACGGGCGTTTGATGCCCTTCAAACCACAATATATCGAATTTATTTTCCTTCAATATCCAACCATTATTTAGTCGATCGTAAAATTTTGTAGTAGCTTTGGTTGCATTCGTCCAAATTGCAGCAATTTGGTTGGTCCTTCGAATTTTTTGCAATAATACTGATTTGCAGGGGGGAAAGTTTTGAGCATTAAAATGTTACTTTAATAAAACTGGATTTTTTTCTGATATGCATCCATAAGTTTTAATAAAATATTCCATTCTGGCCTTATCTATATCCTTTAAATTTGGTTTTCAGTATAATTTGCAAACATAGCCTTCCAGAGTATTTAGTGTTTCCTGAGGGATGTCTTTAAATGGCTTTGACCCCAATGACGCAAAAGCAGCTTGAGTTTGATAGCTATATATTTTTTAATATTGCAAAAGGTTTCTTTTTTCCTTTGTCATAAAATGAGGCTTCGTAATCACAACCACTAAATGCATGGAATGCTGGTAGTGCTTGGCTAAGAGTTGATTCTAAAGAGCCCTGTATCTTTGTAAGATTAATATATCTTAACGAATTATTCGAAATTTGACCAGTTTCCATCCAAACAAGCTTATTTTCTTTTTTAAATTGGTCAACATGCGCTAATGCAATAACTGCAATATCTGTATCTGAAGTTCGTATAACTATATTTTTGCAAACAGTTTTTGTTATATGAAACAACATTTTAGTATCGGCCTCTTCATGCTCACAATAGTATTCTTGTGCTATTTCCTTAATAACATGTTCGTTTTTCTGATAAAATTTATAGCAATGATTATCAATTGTTACATAATATGTAACTATATTATATAGATTTATCATAATTATAGGGTAATAACAGTTATTTTTTCCCACTCTTCAACAAGATATGCCACAAGCGCTCCTTTGAAGTTATCCTGCCTCAAAGATGCTAAGAAATTAGAAGGCCGTTTTTGGTTAGGTCCATTGATAACAAAGTTTTCTTCTCGAAAAACTGAGGTAGCTCTTCGGTCCCGTTCCGAGAAGGTGTTACGATTTTATCAAAAACCTCGTCAAAAACTAAATGCAGCTCATTTCCTTGTAAAGCACACAATTTAGCTAAAATAAATCTAGCTAGAGCCTGAAATGTTGTACCTGAAATGTTGTAAGAGGTTCCTTGAGGAGATGTAAAAAAAAGAATCCGTCAACAATAATTGAACCAATCAAAGGCGGATCTTCGGGATTCGTATCAAAGCTTTCTATAATGTGTAATAGATTTGCTTTATTTGTCTGGCGTCAAACGGTAACTAAGAACCAGCTCAAGATCGATTTTATTATCAATTGAAAACAATAACATCCTGCTAAATAAGTCTCTTTCCAGTTTTAATTCACAAATGGAATTTTTTTACGAAGCGTATATTTTACCCCTTCGTTTGCGAAGGTTTTGATTTGAATTTTTTTGATCGGCTTCTCAAATCTCGTGATGTCGATGGCACATTCTTCTATAAATTTACAGCGAGAATTATTTCCATTTTCTAAAATATTTTACAAAAACTCTTCAGTCTTTATGTCAGCAGCTTTTCCGGTTGCAATGTTAAAGATATGGTCGCTATCAAATTTTTAAAACAACCATTCATAAATTCTCTCTTAAAGTTGGGATATTTATTTTCGAATTTCAGAAGATTGTCGTGAAACTTTATTGTCCACCTAGAATAATAAGGCTGATTAAATACAAAGAAAATAGATGATATTTTAAATAAAATCGATCTATATGGCTCAAAATCAGAAGTCCTAATGCTCCTGGAAAAGTCAAAAAAATTCTGTTTGAGATGCATATAGGTATACCAAAATTGCGCTGCT